CTACCTTAACACTCAATCCACTTTATCGTCACTAGGGGAGTCGCCTTTTATCCTATAGAAGACCAGCTAAAGGCAATCACCCATTTAATGAAGAGCGGACTGAAGTATGCCTAAAAGGTGTTTTTGATTTGGAAGGGAAAACAAAGTTTTTTTTGACGCACGAATCCACACACACACACACACACGCACAGTATTGCCTCTGATTGTGCTTGTGAGCAAAGGCATTCTGCAAAATACAGAAAGCCCTGACGTAACAGATGATCCAACGTGGGGTAAGGTGTTTTTGTTCCACAAAACGGTATCAAACTAGCAAAGCCAACTTCTAACCGATCACAAGGATGAGGAAGTCACGAGTTAGATAATTGTAGGTCAATGCTTGAAAGCAATGAGTCCGAGTGATTACAGCCTCGAGTCATTCGTCAGATCGCCTCTCCACTTCACCTGACCTTCCACGGTAAGATGGTCTGGGATGATGTTGGCAGCTGTTTAAAAGCCTTTTAAGGCTTTTATGCGAGCTGAAATACTTCTTGCTCAGGAGGACAGCGGACGTAATACACTTTACTAGATGTAGAGGCAAGGAGATGCTATTGTCTACTGATTCATTAAGCCAATATAGTCTACAATCCTTTCTTGTAGAAGGACGGACAGCAATCTTCTGGCCCTAACGATTCATTTTAGATGGCTGAAAGCATGCTCAATATACCAATTGCTTTTGCATGATTTAATATGTCCTAGCCCATCAAGTCCAAGAAAGGCACACTGTTCGCATGAGAAAGTGGATAATGCATCTCAAGAGTACACGAACAGCGGAAGTTTTTCCAGCCGCTCAGCAATAAAAAAGTTTAAAAGAAACGGAAGAATAAGGAGAAGGAGGAGCCTGACGAAAGCCTACAGCTGCGCTAAGCAGTCAGTCCTGTCTGACCAAAGGAATAGTGTGTTGAGGGAAAAAAAGGCACAACAACACCGCTAGGCTATACCCAACTTGACGGATCCAGTAATACCACGGAGATGATAGGACGCGATAAGTGGAAGAGCACATGCACGGGCTGTCAGAGCCTGACAAAAGAAACTGTAACGAATTTGTTGGATGAAGGAGAGGAGACGAGAGGGGGGGATGGGGGAAGGGAGGGGAGAGATGACAGTAAAGGAGAAAGGAGAGGGAGGAAGGCAGGAAGAAAGAGGGAAATCACCTTCGTCAAAAGTTGACGTTCGTGCAGTCGACACGATAGTCGTCTCCTGCTTGCACGACTTGACATGGCATAACAACCAGTCTATCCACACGCATATCCTCTTCCTTTCTAATTCACAGTAAAAATAGGATGAAAACGAACAAGAAACTTTACTGCGTTTCTATTCATCCTCACCTCGTTGGGGTAATGGGCGTTCCATGGGCTTAAGCTAGAGGATTATTTTTCGGCAAAAAAAGAAAGCACAGACGCTTAGTATTTCAAGGGTGCTAAACATCCGAGAAATGGAGGTAGTGGCGCGCAAAGGTTGTGGCATTTCAAAGAGTGCTTCACATTAGCGCCCCAGCAATGAATATTTTTTATGCTTTGTTTCATGATTCAAGGAAGGAAAAACTAAGAAGTTGCAAGTAACAACACGGAGATGTTTGACCAGTAATTGAGACCGATTTTGAGTTGTTCAGTAAGCTTACGCTACAGCGGCACGACTCTTGTCCGCTAAAAGCGCTATTTTTTCTTCCATGGCCCGGTAACCAGCCAATCCATCTATATGCCAATTTCCTTTTGAGCATTTGTGAGACATGTCATTTTTTCCAAGCCCTAAACAATCTAACTTCAAAGGTCTTGTAGGCGTACAACTACAATTGTAGCGCGCAGAAGAGTGTAGAGATCTCTGGCCACTGATTTGTAAACCAGAGGATACGGAAGAGGTTCATGAAGTTGCAGTTATGCCCAAGTCAACTACCGTCCCACCAAAACACACTAAAAGGATGGTAAGGTTTTTTTTGTTAAGGGTAAGAGAAAAACTACCAGAACAATAACGACATTAGCGACATCGTTATGTTCTGCCTCGTGTTGGACTTTCACTTATCGAACTTTCCTCATCTCCCTTTTCTGTCAACAGGTGAAGGAGGAGGACTAAATGAAACAACCCCACATTGGACCTACTTTCAGACAGATTTCAGACAGAGTAATATAGAATTATCATTGAAAATGCAAAGCCAAAACGCTGTCGGAAAAAACTCACATTTCCAGAAGACATGCTGATTGGATTCCATTTTCACTTCACGAGGTTAAAGAGGACGTTAGAAGCCCCCAACTAGGACCGAGAAGTGGTACTGGAAGGTTCAAATCATACCTGCTAGCTTCATCGAAAACAAATCCACTAATAAACGGAGGGAGATAGGTCAGTACTCACGAATTCTTACGCCCATCATAAGAATCATTTTGATAGTCAGCTAGCAAATGTGGACAAGATACTTCTCCGAGCAACCGAATCGAGGCGCTCATTTTTAAATGAAAATTGGACAAATAGCAGAGCGAGGTATTTGTGCTGATTTCAGAGGTAAAAACCCACTTATTCACCTTGTTCTGATGGCAGCTGTTTAGGAAAAATTAGGTGGTTAAAGGTGACACGAAACGGTAGCTCCAGGAGCGAGAGCGAAGGAGTCACAAAGGCCGAAAACAACGACAGTAGTGGCGGCAGCAGCAGAAATACCCCATCTCCATCACCGACACGGTGGGAGAAAGCAATCTAAGCGTTTGGATAATTCACCGACTCGAATGACTAGCCATCTTCGTCGGCGTCGTCTTCGTCCCCATCGCTGTCGGAGGCGGCGGCAACGGCGGCAGCGGCGGCGGCTGCAAGTTCTTTTGCCTGCAAGCTCGCACACACACACGCACAGGTCCACGAGCAGCCGGACTGCGTCGGTGAATGGCGGCATTGCCGATAAGAGGACAAATACACATAAAGCACAACACAAGAGACGGTATTCCAGTGCGCACACGGCCTGCCCAGCCCTACTTTTTGCATTGTAGACGTGTTTGACAGAGCTAAAAGAGCGGATGTGGGCATAGGGGGGAGATGAGAGTAGATGGCACGCGGCTTTGTACGTCAGGCATATTTACAGCCCATCCACTGCTCAAATGGATGAGACACCTCGTCAAGCAAGATGGGCAACAACTAGTTATTAGACGAGCCGCAGACAAAAGATCCCATTAATTGCCAGTTGGCTGGGCACATTTATGGTGATAATGTAATTGACGATAAGACATAGTAGCAACACTCTAGCACACCAGTGGGTCATGGATTACTATTTAGTAGTCTGAGAAGCAAATAAAATCAGTTAGGCGTAGTAAAATAACCTCACACTTTTAAGGCTATTTCTAACCAGCTTGACCGAAAATACGTAGAAAAAGCTTAGATAGCATTAACTTCTCGATTTAGGTCTGTTAAATGGGCTCACAACTTGATTGCAACGAAGTTAGTACTGTGGATTCAAGAGGGCCTTCCACAAGTATCTGGTGAAGTCGAATTCCAAAGGAAGCCATTAGTTTGGGCTGATTTTTCGTAAAAGTTCCAGAATCATGCACCATCTTTCGTATGGATAAATCAGGCGGAAGGTGATACGTAATGTATGGACACTTTTTAAAACCTTTTTTTACTGACCACTCTATCAAAAGGAGGGGAATACCGCTATTAGGGGTACAGTAACTCACGGATTCAATAGAGGGGAACATAAATAACTCCAGACGTCCCACAACTGATCTCAAAGCGGCCTCCTGATCAGGACTGCGCCAAATGCCACCAGCCAAACGATTCCTTGCAAGCGAGAGCCACGCCTTGGCCAGCTGGAAAACATGACTCCTATCCAGGGCATCCCACTGCTCCGGCACCGGCTGGATGGCATGGTCCTTGCAATAGACCTCCTCATTATGTGAAGTGAGGTGAAGAAGGTCGACCATCCAACAGACGCCCTTCTCGCCGGCCAGGAAACAGTCCACCCAATCGTTGGCCAGTTGGTGGAGAGCCTCGTTGGCGCGTTGGTGCGAGGTGGTGAGGTGGGAGAGGCAACGCAGAGCGGCTTCCACGCAGTCGACGGTGGCTTGGAGCATCGACAATGAGACGGAACGGCGACCGCAAAGGCAGGAGAGAAGGGAGGGTGGAATTGGATCATACTTTGGTGGAGCCATGCACGGGCCGCCGAATACGGTGGCCCGACACAGAGTTGAATGAGAGGAGAGTTCGTTCATGGTGAATGTGAGCAACCGCACGAGAAGCGAAACGGTTCCATTCTATGAAAAAAAAATTTATTTGGGTATCAGAAATTAAAGCTTTTTCAATTGATGCAATTATGTCAACTAGTAGAATCAAATCAGATCGACCGAAACTCCTAATTGTAATTCTCGTGAGGTACTCCAATCTAGTACGACTATTTCATAGTCTTGTAATTAAAAGACAGTTGCAAGGGGTATGAATAAAGTATAGTCCTAATTGCTGTGGCAACTGTTATAAAAGCCTTCCCCCTAGGGAGGTTCATGAAAACCTAATTTTGTCAACCTTTATCGCTCATGAAGGAGTCGTTCTGTAACCGCTCTCAAAAAATCAGTTTTGTAAGTTGAAGTGTAAAAAGAAGAACTGAAGACCCCTAAAGCGTTTAGTCGCACAACCGATCAACCACAAAGTCGTTTGAGGATACCACAGACGTCTGTACAATAAACGGTGTCTACATTCAGAGTAGGAAATTGTGACCAGACAGATTGGTCGGTGGGAGCAGTGTGGCACTAATATTTTTTGCAAAAATCGGCATTGTTCATAGTTCTGAAATCGCGCACATTCCCCACAAGCAGCGACATGCAAGGATGCACACGCGAACACCCACTCGTCCGAACACACACACGGGCACGGTCGCCCACTCAAAAAGGCACGGTGTCGGCGGCACAGATAGCGGTGGCAAGAGGGTGGCGAGGCGAAAAAAAACCAATCGCAATATTTCGGTCATAAGGCCTGTTGTACTGCGGTATAATTGAGGATGGGGTTTGAATAAAAAATTTCCCATAGCCTGCCCGCCTACAAATCTTTCAGGATTCGAATACTAAGGCATGGGAGGATAGCTGCTAAAATTCCGTCTGATTTAATAATTTTTGATAATTTTTTTTGTATTTTGATTAAATACAAGTCTGAAGTGCAGACGCTGGGAACACATTGGCGACAGCCTAAGGCAGGAGATCAGACAGGCAGTTGCAAAACAATCCGGAGTAGATCTTATGCTACTCTAGCACAAAGCGATCTTCTGAATTCTGATAACAATATAGAACTGGAGTATTACTTATTAGGCTTAAAAACCTATTATTCGTCGTATGGGTTTGTGACTGAATACATACTCGTCATATGAAAGCAATCTACATATATACACTTTTACAATTGCGTATACTCATAGTATCCAACAAAACTAAGCCTAAAAAGCAACGACCTTAAAAATGAACATCTGAAATTCAAAACTCACCTCTACTAAGAACAACTTGGTGAAGGGGTTTCGACAGGTGAAATTCGCAAGTGTTCCAAAAATGCATCTACTGATGGTGTATCTATCTTGCAGGTCATAGGGCGAATAACTCCTGGCTTTCCAGCATTGCAGAGACTCTTCAATGCTCCGCAGTTTCATAAGAAGGATTTCACTGATTTCGATCATTTGGTGATTTGCAAGGCTCGCACACTGATCGGACAGATTTCGAAGCGTCCAAAAGGCATCTAGGGAGAGCTGCTGAAAGGTCGAATTGGCCAAGTGTTTGAAGAATCGAAGAGCAGGGTCATTTTTTAGAATGTCTCCCTTCGTCTGTGAATGGGTCGATAGGATACGCAAAAGCCGGACACATACACTCTGCGTCTTTTCAAATTGATAGGTATGTACGAAGTAGAGCAGCGGTATGACACCTTGCTTTGCATGTATCAATCGTTTTGACATTTCGTTTCTGTGAGCAAGCAGGTAGAGGCTGTCACAGGCAATGGATAAAAATTTCGAAAGGGATGTTGACGACGCAAATGCTAGGTAGGGGTTGCACGTCACCGGTGGATGAAATGACTTGTCGTAAAGAAAACAAGTCCAGAGAATTTGAATGAGAAGAATGATTATAAGAGGTGTGCGAAACTTGTCACGAAGAGACTTGTGGTCTAGCAAGTTGTGCAGACCAGCAACTGTGTAGTAAAGTGCTGATTCCAACGGGAATGATAGTAATCTCGCGACAAATGCAATGTATGAGTCAGGTGGAACTAAGTATGCTGCAGTGTCATTTTCCGTCAAATAGTAAAATATTCCACTAAGGCAATGGATGAGGTCAGGGTGCTTTGAGATATCAATGGCAACAATTACTGTCCTTAAAGTCATAAATATTTCGGGTAAAGAAGATAGCAGTACTTCTGAAAACCCTGAGCGGCACAGATGAAATAGATGTTGTGCTGAGGATTTTATGACCGACACATCACCGGACACTAAGCCCAAACAATAGTTCTGCACCAGTGGAAACGCGGCATCGTAGTCCAGAGGATAAGCAAGTCTGGAGCATTCGGTTAACGGCCAGTCATCGGAGGAATTTTCAGACGTTGTACTTGAAGGACGGGTCTCTTCAGCAGACTCCATTCCAGAATCCGATGACAATGACGCAGATTCATCTAAGTCATAAATGCGATTCGTCATTGCATTCGTGCAACGAAAGTAGGGCTAGCAAACGATGTTTCCTACTCACACATAGGACCGAAGTAACCACACTGAACGCCAAACACAATTTATTTGTTGCACGGATGAAAACTAATATACTAAATCGCAAATAGTGGCCCACAAAAACAAAAATAGAGGTCAGTTGCACAATATTACCAAAAGATTAGTACATTCAATAATTATTTATGTATATTTAAAATCAAGAAACTAATTGTTTTTTCTTTACATCAGGATTTATCCAGATGAGCGACCTTATTTGTTAGCGTGTTGTTTATAGGCGGTCTACTAAAATGGGCCTAAATTAAAGCAAACTTTACAAAATAGTTACATTTTCTACCTTAGCAATATTTTTTATAATTATTGTAATAGTGGTTTTGGAACGGGTCTGTCATTTGCGGTTCCGCAATCATATGATGGTAGTACAAAGTATAACATTAGGTTTGTTTGAATTTTATAAATATGGCCAATATAATTTCTTAGTCTTGCGCAAGCTGTGCTTCCACTCTGTGGTATGGACTTTTGGGTAGGTTACTATTTTCTTAGGTTTTTGTATTTTAGTAGTTCATGTTCTTTAGTGTACTATGGCTTATTAATATTGTGCTATGCAATACGATGGCTGTTTACCATCCAGTTTTGGTAAGAAGCTGCTTTGACTTGGCCAATGTACCACGCTGGGTGGTCTGTCCTTCGGCCCATGCGAGTAGCCAAATACCTTCTCTATGTCGAATATCTATATTCTGCCTGAGTATTATTTTGTAGATTTCCCAGACTTTCCTTAAGAAAAAAAAAGACAAAAATACTAAGGCAGAATGTACACATGCAGCACAGAGAAGGCGTTTGGGCTATTGGCATGACCCATAGGCCAGCCCGTCCAGCGAGGTATAAGAAGGCTAATTTAAAAGTACAAAAGTGGCGCCTCGCCAATCCCGAGGGATAAACCACCATCGTATTACATAACCTCCGTCTTCTTTTGAGCGTTGTCCTTCCGCGTCAGCCATTGTAACGTGATCGGTGCTGTAAAGAAACACTTACGATCCGACCGTGCCAGTCACCAAAGTAGAGTGCAACTGAGGCGATACTTGGCCTCAAGGTCAGTCATCCCTCTTGGCAATCTAACTGGATCTGGAGTTTTGTCCGGTTCGGAAACTTGTATCAGGAACGGGAAGTTGTGCTGGCCATCATGCGTGTCCATAGGTGGATGTAAGAACACTGGACTAAAAGTAGACTTGTGTAAAGAAGGACAGGATTTAATATAGGTCCATGGGGGACGGTAGGGGAAGTCCGTAACAAAACTTCCAGATGGTTCACGGCTAGTGTCGCTTCATTTGTTGATAGCTTTTCTGCAGAGCAGGGGACTGGTATAGATGCCGAAGGCAGACGTCAACTTCAACCCTTCTGTTAGGAATCATCACCATTCTCTTATCCGTAGCATATGTACTTTTTCCGCTCCACTAAGGTTTATCACGCAGAAGTATAAAATCAGGATACATGTCCTTTAAGATCGGATTCGCTTTCCACTGCCACCAATGCAGGGTCCCAAGACTTATGGGAGAATGGTAATAGACCCAAACGGAATGACTAAAATTGGCGTTAACCTTCAGCATCTACTCTAGTCCTGTGTTTTGCAGTTTAGCCATTAGCAAATTAGGCAATACTGGCCATGAACTATCTGAGAGTTCCGTTACATGTTTTCCCTACCGTATCGGCATAAAGTTGTTGGTAAAGTGAATTCGTGATATCTGTCCCTCTTTCCTACCATCTGAATATGGCTGGGCAGCTATGAAGTGAGAACAGCGTTGCAAGGAGGATAAGACGCTAAAACCTTCCCCCACGGACCTATCTTAAACCCATCCTTCCTTACACAAATCTGCTTTTAGGCCAGTGTTCTCACATCTATCTATAAACACACATGATAGCCAGCACAATCCCCCATTCCTGAATCTAGTTCTTAAGCAGGACAAAACCCAAGATTCAGTGAAATTGCCAAGAGAGATCGGTGACGCTGCAGTCAAGTATCTCCTCAGTTGCATATAAATCTGATGACTGTCACGGCCAAAACGCGGGTGCTTCTTTACAGTACACACTACATTGTGATGGCTGACGCGGGAGGTTAATTAAAGAGACCGCCGGGGAGGACGCTGAAAAGAGGAAGGGAACTATGTAATACGTTGGTGGTTTATCTCCGCTTTGGATGAGGAGCCACTCCTGACTAAGCCATTGTACCACGCTGGGCGGTCTGGCCTTCGGGTCTTGCTACTAGCCCCAGTACCTTTTATATGTTAAATATATATATTCCACCTGAGTATTATGTCTTCTCTTGCCCTCAGGGAAGTCTTGGGACGCCACAGTTCCGAGTCCATCCAAAAGTCATTGCATGACGAACGTGTGCTGACACCGTATGGCATTTCTGGAAATCTATCATTATGCCCCGAATGTTATTACAAGGCAAATATACTATCCATACGTACCTAAGGATCAGTGTAAATGAATTAAATAAGGAAACACTGTCGTTACATAATTCGAGGAAGACTTGGGCCACTACCTTCTGCTGTTAAAACGTAGGTTATGTATCTAGCAACCCAAAACATTTTACCCCAAAAATAGAAAAGCACGAGCACTCGTTAATGCCTTTGTTATTTTTGTACTGTTTTTTCTGATATGGGCAGATTGTTTAGTCCCGCAATTTTTGATCTGACCCCATTAAAAGATAAACAATAAATCTAATTTTTAAATAAATATTTTAAGTATTAGGCTTGGGCATTTCAGGAACCTCAGTAGCTATTTTTACGAAGTCAAGAATACAAGTTTAACACTGGTGATTGTACGAGTGAACTAATACCTAAAACCTTCGATTAGCGCAATATTTAGGCCAGTGTGATATTTGCCTCAGAATGGGTGTTGCGGTTTCATCCGCCAAACGCGCTGTAAGAAATTGGAATGCAACGAATCGGGCACTAAGATACTTGGAAAAGACTGAAACTAAGAGGAAAGCAGATCTGAGTGGGTTGAGAGTAGAGAAAAACTCAAACGGATATGAAATGGCTTTGGTTGAAAGGGACGCTCAATTGGAAGGGCGAGTCACCTCATTTGATATAATAAGTGAAAGAATCAAGAAGTCTATTCTACCAGAAGGATTTGATTATGTTCCAAAATCGAGTAGGAAATTGCCTCAAGTATACCTCAAATGTCTTGATCATGTTATCCAAAGAGGTTTGAAGGTGGTAGTCCGCTACCTCCCCCACACATTGACTTTGGATTCGCCATCCCTGAAGTTATTCCAAAGGGAAAAATTACAATGCAGCAGGCCATAAATATGATAAAGTCTTATCAACTTAAGGAAAAGACTGTGCCGCAGCTTGCTGATGAATATGATCTTGATGTATCCATGGTTTGTTTTCTTTCCCTGTCTTTAAACTCGTAGGTGGCCTCTGTGTGTAAATATTTTGCTTTGTTCGAACGTGACGCCTGCAATGTTTGGGTACCACCAACGGAGTCAAAGGACAATAAGGCTCTGCTTGACGCTCCTATATACCAAGAAGACGAGCGATTAATAGATGAAGGGGCTTCTCGATACACTCGGTTGCATAAACTCCAATCTCCCTCGGAGCAATGACTGTTCCTGTTTGTATATATATTGCGAATAAATTATTTGCTTCATTGTGTTTTCTAGGAATTGTTTTGTTTCCGCTTCTACAAGGTTGTGTGCTTGTTTTTTTCTCAGAAATGGCGTCGATTTGCGCAATGCGGCGTTTTCTTACTCGGAGGCCATTGGCACCGCTTAATAGATTGATTATCTGTGGTAGTCACATATTAAATCAAGAAGGTGGAACACAAAGTGGATTGTCAAGTGCCTTGCAACGCTTTGTGAATAAAAACAACGATTTCTTATTCAATGAATATGAACGGCTCTCGAAGCTTGTATCTTCTGGACGAACAGGTGAAATTAAGTGAGCAGATCTTACTATTTATTGCATTAATTTGTTTCTTTATGGTCAAGACATTGATTCATCGTGTAATTAATTTATCCGACAGAGAAAACTTGGACAAGTGGTCTAAAATCAAGCTCTTGATGGATCTAAGTCAACGCTTGCAGACTCTGGCTACATTGGATGCCGATTCGGCAAGGCTGTTGCAAGGTCGGTAAGTTTCACAGGGAAATCGACTGCCACAGCTCCGATATTTTATTGTTTTAGTATGACACCAAATGTGATCAATTTTCCTAACCAAAACAGCTGCTGCTCAGAAGCTATAAAAGAGTCTCATCATGCACAGATTGGGATCTTTGAAATGGATTCCAGTTTTTCGATTGGTGCAATTGAATACTTTCCCAAAATGCTTCGGGAATTCCTGGATCATTTTAATTGCTCTAAGCTTCTATTGCTTCATTCTACCTTTGAACTTTCTCTCTTTCGGAGTAAATTAAACAATGAAAATCCATTTGCTAGCAGAATTGGTCGATGGATCTGACACTACTTTGCAAGAACTGGCAGCTCAAGAATTCACCTCTCGTCGAGAAGAGATAAGGTCGCTGGAGAATCGGGTATCAGTTAACTCCATCTCCTTCTTCACGACATTCGTGGCAAACTTTTACGATTCTTCTGTCAACTTAGATAATGGAGCTACTGCTGCCACCCGACCCAACAGCACAATACAGTGCAGTTCGCCTGCAGTTAATCGCGGGAGCTGGAGGTCTAGAGGCAGCAATGTTCGCGCGTGACCTCTTCACCATGTACGCAGCGTATGCGCGCTACTGCGGCTGGCAGTTCGCGTCTGATGACGACGGCGGAGCGACGGGGGCCGCCGTTGGCGCAGATAGTCCGATTCACCACGTGGAGGTTCGCGTGGAGTCTTCAGACCCCGTAGATCCTGTGTACCCTCGTCTACGATGGGAGGCCGGTGTGCACCGCGTTCAGCGTGTACCGCTCACTAGCAAACTGAACAAGATACACACCAGCACTGTCGCTGTCACTATACTCCCGGTCATTGACGAGGTTCGTGACTACTATTTTTTTGTATCAGTAGCAATGTTCCATTCAAATCCATCAATAGATTTGCAGACTGCCGGTCATTCGGGTGCATAATAATCTTAATGCCTGTTTGTGTAAGTGTTGAATATAGTCGATTACTGAATAAATTAACCCTCGTGCGTCAAATATTGGCTGTGATTTGTCTTCATGCGAAGGCATGAGTTTGACTTATCATTCGATTTCGTACGCTTTCAAACAATCCCTTTATTGTTTTTTTGGCTAGACGGCGAAAGTAGGTGTCTATTTTTGTGGATATAGGTGGTGAGCATAAAAGTGAGCATGAATTTTACGGTTACAGAGAGGACTCTCAGCTTGACCTTCAAAGGTATGCTTCCACGGAAAACTGGTACTTGGTCGTACTGATGAAATGAATAAATTGGTGAGGGCATGGGTTGCGCATTTGTTTGTCCTAAACTTGCACAATTAATTGTTATGACAATGTAGAAGGTGAATGTGGTGTCAATGATAAATGGGTCTCTTGCTATGCATGAACCACTGGTATGACGTGGGCATGTGAGCGAGGTGTAGATATGCAACAGGGACGACGATTTGCAATAAACTTACGTCATAGCTCGTTTACAGTGATGCCACAAACGTGCAGAATGGTCCTTAATATTGGAGTATTCCTGCACCTACTTGCTGGACTAAAGGAGGTATGTCTGGGTGTACCACATGACTACTTCTATATGGTGTACCGCCTCATGGCGATTTAGTCAGTCGTCACCCTGAAGCATAAATGGCTACGGCAATTATCCATAAATCTTATCAAAAAGGAATGAACAGCCTCCTCTCATGCACTGAATAGTTGTAAGCAGAGGATATTTTAGCACCACAAATTTGGCTCCGTCAGCAAAAGCGTTCAGCAAGGTAATAAGGTTCTCTCTTAACTATTTGTTTGTAATTTGTACAGGGTGCAGTGGGTGAATAACATGTGTATAGCGTGCCATGTGACTGAATACGGTGAAAACTAATATCGCTCTGTCACAGTATGCTTGATCAAGAAGTGGATTTTTGTGCCAGTAGAATCCGGTTCCTTGGCTCAACTGATTGCAATGGGACAATCGATGCCCTTGTCGCATTTCGTTCTGTTCCATTTTGTAGGCGGAGGTGGAGTTAGACCCAGAGGACCTGGAATGGGAGGTGTTCCGTGCCTCCGGTGCTGGAGGTCAACACGTGAACAAGACAGAAAGCGCAGTGCGTGTGCGTCATCGGCCCACGGGGCACGTTGCTGCATGTCAGGCTGACCGCTCCCAACACACCAACCGGGAGGCAGCGCTCAAAGCACTTAGAGCCAAGTCAGTTTTTGTCTGTATCACTGGCAAAAAACACTTACAGGGCGTTATTTCTGAAGCTTTTAAAATGATCCAGCAGTTTTTTTTTACTTTACGTAAGTAAATAGGAGACTGCATTTGTCTTCTTGAAAACTTAGGAGTGTGTCAGTCAGTCTCATCCATGACGCTTGTTTCTTCCACCCAATTCCTTCAGTCATCAATGCTTTTTTACTGGGAATCGCTAGTCTTACAGAAGATGTTTACTTACACGTCACTTACGAAAGTGGTCAGCTAGGTTCTAGCTTAATTAGTTAAGAATTTTTAAATGTTTTCACCCCTTCAGATACTTCTCCAAAATTTGTATTCTGTAAATATTTTTAAAAATAACTCCATCCTGGTGGTCGTCATGAAGTATTTCATAACTTAAGACAGCAAATTTCAAGTTTCCACCTCAGTTTAACCAAAATTAATTTTTAGAGCTAGTTCTATATCGGTAAAAAAAGAACTAGAACATGACCTCTACATTAGCAGGACCTTAGCAGGTCCTTGCAGACGTGTTTGGACGAAGTAAGCACAAGTTTTGTAAGATCAGGAACTATTTTATTAATTCTTTAATTTCTGTTTCAACCGCTGTTCTGCACGGGGCCCCACCGCCGTCTGGTTCCGCGCGTTCATTCTGTCGTGCCCTGCTTGAATGTAGGAAATTTCTACCTGGTACCATATTCAAATTTTAAAGGGTCGTCGCAGAAAAATGTGTAAAAAGTTAAATACTGGAGCGTTTATATCCTTCACATTATTTAAGCATGTTGGCGAATTATGTGATAAGTGAAATTTTGACTTGACAGTGCCGAGTTTCGTCGGATTACGCGGAAATCCATAGATTTGTGTAGACTCTGAACAGACCAATGCATCGAATAGCCTCCAGGCACATCAGATTTTCAGAAGTCTGTGTTGCGGTTTTCCATCCCTACTGTTGAAACAACGAACATTTATCATCCCGCATTTTTTACTGGTCAGGATAGCAAACGAGGCGGCTAGACGGCAAGTGGAGACCGAGCAGGCCGAACGGCGTTCACAGATGGGTTTGCTGGCTCGATCGGATCGCATTCGCACCTACAACTACCAACAGGATCGCATCACCGACCACCGTCTCGGACGCTCCTGGAGTGGGTTGGCCACTTTCATGCGTCAGGGCTTCCCCGTGCTAGACGAAACTGCACTCGCTCTTGACGAAGCCTATAAACTTAATGCCCTTGCTTCCCTTGATAAGCCATACTTTTTATGCTGATTTAATATCACTCAATTATTAGCGTACCACTTTCTTGGATTAGCGCTTTGTGCTATATGGCAGGTTTAGCACAGACCAATCAGAATTGCGCTACAAGGCGTTGGTTTTAAAGCTGACCAATACCGTGGCAGTGGTGCAATATAAATAGGCTGTGGTTGGTGTCGGTTACCTCCATCACAAACCATGGCCTCTACACTTACACCTGAGATGAATAAAGTGCGCAAGACCGCGCTGTCGTTGTTGGAGCGTGCCTACTGCCCTTACAGTGGATTTCCTGTGGGTGCAGCGTTGATAGACCCCGAGGGCCGAATTTTCACAGGCGTGAATGTGGAGATTGCCTCCTTTCCCTGTGGTTGGTGTGCTGAAGTCAGTGCTTTCGGGGCAGCTCTCACAGCCGGAGTGAAGGATTTCGTCGCGATGGCAGTTGCAGTGGATAGAGATGAGTTTGCCTCGCCCTGTGGTCGCTGTAGGCAGGTTGTCTGTGAGTTCTGCTATGGGAAGAATATGCCCCTACTACTGGTGAACAGGAAGGGGGAGTACCACCTCACGAAGATTGAAGAACTGCACGCAATGGCCTTCCTGCAGAAGAATTTGGACAAGAAGTAAATCAGTTTATTCTGTTAACTCGAAAATTGTCACAGTAAATTTTTCGAAGTGCCTTGTTTGCCTGATTACTTGGCTCTGGTTCTAATCACCCCTTTGGCGGAGGGAGTGGAGTAGTAATTCACCTGAAAAATTGGCTTGTGTTAGGTTTGCGTTTGTGGCTTAGTAACACTACAGAAATCTTTGTTGAGTGATTTGGCTAGTTGCTACGTTTTACTGAACTGCGTCATTTCCTCTACTCGAATTCATTTGTCTGAATTCATGCCCTGAACAGTGCAGCATGACTTTTTTTGAATCCTTTGTCTATTTAACGTGACGGAACAGGCGAAAGAGGACCGGAAATTTGTCCAGAAAGGGATTTGCAACCGCGGTGACTAAGTTTGGCATGCCGCTACACTAATTTCGCCGACTTGTTTGTTGCTGTAACGGGAGACGATAAAATTGGAACGGTGTATCCTTCACAGTTCACAATGAATGGCGGCTGATCCGCTTTGCAACAGTGTGGGCAGGTCCACTGGTTAAATGTCAACTTCTCATTTAGTTCAGTTTGTCTTTACAGTGAACTGTCAATTTTAGACATCTCACTACTCCGATAGCGTAGGAAGGTGGGATTACAGAAGGTGGGCCCTCTTCTAAGTTCTTCTTGGTTAACCTACTCGGCTGATTACACACTTAGACTGCTTTCCATTTTTTTCAAAGGAAACAGTCCTGTTTGAACGGTGCTGCCACATGTCACACAGTCTGCTGCAACGACTTTGGTCTTAAGTCATGGCTTTCACGTGGATTCCTCAGGCTGTAATTAAAAACCGCCAGTGGGGATTTCACTACCTTGAATGTTCGTTTAGCTCTCGGTATTTAATACTGAATGACTTAGGGCTCTACCATTGTAGTTCCACCTAACAGTCCCAGGCTCCTCTGTACGTTGACAGTACATATTCTTTCAACTTCAGGGGAGTCTTGGGGTGCTAGAGGGATATTTTAAAGTCGTTTACCAGAGTTCGGCTTTTCTAATAAGCCAAAGCTTCGTTAGACGCCACTGATGTTCACCAATTCCTCTCCGAAGGAAGCTTCAAAAGACGATTCTAAAGTAAATCTCCAATCTGAAACAGTGATGATGGAGAACCAGTCAATGCTGTGTATCAGAGGCCTAGTTTGTCGAGCTAGTCGATCGGTTCATAGAGCTAGGAGTTTGCCCATGTCATCTTGTCAAGTACACAAGAACAGTTGTACAAGATGGATTGAGCATTTACCCTCTACATTTAACCGTAGACAATTTATAGACCCGAGATTTTGGTGGAGCCCACTTTATAAACACAATGCTAACCGCAAAACCACCTTTGTAAGTCACACACAGGGAGTGGTGTGAGGGCCCAAGTCTGCAATTCTCGTGTCGACTTTAGCCACAGGATGTCTAAACAGGCGTAGGTATATCCGGCGTGGTGACGATGATGCTGACGACGACAATGACGTGTGCAGACGGTAACTAGACGGTCAGATCGGGTAAGCACGCAGAGAGCAGCTGTTTATACGACAGAGGGGAGAGGTCGAGTTCTTTCTTGTCGGCTTACGGGATCGGCTGTAGTAGCGGCCCTAGACTTCACCTAGCTGGTGGACCCCTTGGTGTTGTTGACTCGGCAAAACGCCAACTGGTTTGTTCAGGTCGCAGTAATTGGAACAGTGTGGTAGTTGTTTGGGAAAAAGAAATGAGAGCTAACCTTTCAGCGATTTTAAATTATGCAAACCAAGTAAATTTGTTTTAGGCATATCTGTCCCTGTAGTTTGTACATCGAAACACAACAAATTTGGTGAGATTTTGTATGCTACTTACAAGCGGAGCAAGTCACGCTAAACCAATGAAGTAAAAATCCATTGATATTATAAACAGTTGCGGTTTTGCAGAACCAGTTACTTTAAGCTGGTAGTTGCGACAAAATGACCTTGACCTGTGCGTGGAGAATTTGTGACTAGCACATTCGACTCCGTCATTCATTACCAATGCTAGCGTTTATCGTGCAGCGTAGTAACATGAACATGCTCTTCAAGCCTCGAATGCGACGTATTTTAACTGTACGGATCGAAAATGTCATACCCGAGCGAACTGGACAGTTTACCATTCGTCATTTGAACGTCAAACCACACCCTCAATATTTTCGTCTGTTTAACACACTCACCGCACCTCTCTGGTTGTATCCGTCTGTCACAGCAGGCTCAACACCCGAAGACCTTATTTTTCGAAGCGCAAATCTATCATAGGCGTGAATTAGCAACTTGAGTAAACTAAAAATTCTCGACCAATCAGATTTGGCATTCTGATGAACCAATGAGACACATCCTAGTAACAAGGAACGCCTTTTTATCCACTTCATCGGCGAGTCACCGAACATGCGACTCGGTGATAGATGAAGTACCACTCTTCTCTAAATTTGCGAATTCTCAACTTTTGATTAAAAAATAGTGGATTGTATTTACTGAGTTTGGCCAATCGGAAAGACGCTTTAGCTCACAATGCTACGGCTCCGAAAGTGTCTTGGTTCATAGGTCACCCTGATACAGGTCACTAGACTGTCAGGCTACCTTAAAGAATGAAGGATCTGTTGGTGACAAAGGATCACTAGAAGAGACCATTACTTTGGTTTAAGAATGATTTGCTGTCCCCAAATCGCAAACTGTAATTTAAAATGACTTAAATTTTCATTTACAAATTAACCACCTCCGATCTTTCATCGGAGGCGTTTTCTACCAGTACCACCTGAGGTGAACCAATGTTTTCACTTGGACTCTGAGCCAAACACCTCGATTGCATAGGCTGCCGACTAGACTCCGCACTTCATCCATGACTGTTGCCGTCATTGTTTCAGCTCCGTCAATAAAGACACATCTTCTATTCTCCCAATCCAGTTTGCGCAGACAGCAATCTGCTGACTTTTGCCCAGTGTTGCTCTAATTTTCACTGTTATTGTCTTCTCAGGACACCTCAGACTCACTAATTTTCATGGTTCCGGTGCTGCCAGCCGTGTTGGTAAGTTTTGCAACCGAGTGGTCGTACTGTTACGGCCGATGATACCAATTGTGGTTCTGTAAGTGATTTTATAACGATAGCCTTTTTGAAGCATCCACAATCACTGGACATCTTTAAAACCAAACCAGCTTGAACATTTGATTGACAATGCTTGGTGATTTAGCGCAAACTGTGGAAGATTTACTCGCATCGCACACCTGTCGAAAGGGAATGATTCTCAAATGGCACTGGAACAGAAAAATTTGGACTCGAGCGTTCAAAGAAATGAGGAAATGTTGTTTAAAGAAACCCAGATGATAGGGAGTGTGCTGCATTCATTAATGCTTCAACTTACACGGACAACGTTTTGATTGGACATTCAGTGCTGATAATAAATGTAGCACCTCGAGCTTTCCCTGAATAGGAAAGAAGGTCTAATACTTGGGCCTGCAGGCTACTGGCATCGCCGGGAGGACGGGCTGCCCGGCAGAGGTGCAATGGCGGAGCACTAGGTTGACAAGTATATAAAAAATAAGCAAGAATTTGTCACCACGAGAGGGGACAAATGCCCTTGACAGTACAATTGTCGTTGAAAGTCACAGTGATCTAGGGCCAGAAAAATAGCTTTTCATCCCTACAAAGGCATCATAGGCAACAGGCGACGAAAAAAATTCATGTTGTTTCAAGGGGGAGCTTGGTGCAATGGCCGGTTGTAGCTTATAGGGACCCACTGCCCTTTGTATTCTGTAAAATGTAGGTATGTGCCAGTCGATCATTTGTATGGTGATCTTTAGTAATATCTCCTACTACTTGCCTGTTATTTAAAGACTCTATGAAATGTCGGCTAAATCTGACGGATATGCAGCTCCTTGTCAAAGGTGCTCCAAAGTAATTTTAAAAATCTTAGTTCTGATGAAGAATCACTAAAGTGCTCGCCACTTTCAGTGGGATTTACACTTCTTGACTAGTGGACATTAATTTGTAATGGTTAAAGGTAATGCAGTAACTCATGCCTCATGCCACAAAACTTACCCACGAGGGGGCTTTCGCCCTGTAATAGGAGGGTGATACCGCCTCCCATCCCCCGCATCTCCGTAATGCTCCTCCAAGTGAAAATTGGCGCTTTTTCATGACATGAGTGCTATGAATTTACTTGGAAAATATAAAAAGCAATCGGGAACTAAAAGCGAGACAAACACTGCGGTGGCTAGGCACCTGAGACTTTAGCCAAAGTAAGTCTTTAGTGGAAAATTGCGAATTACACAATGCCTGTGTAATGCGTTGGTTGTGTGCCAAACTTTCAGCCTTGGTAAGGACGCCACTCTAAAGGCTCGTCATTGTACCTCTGGTGGGTGAACTGGCCTCTAGGTCATGCTAGAGCCCCAGCCCCTTCTCTACGTCAACAATACACATTCAGCCCAAGTATTATATCTTCTTTCATCTTCAGGGAAGTCTCGAGGCGCTACACCTAATGAATACAAACAAAACCTCATAATAGAAATGTGCGGATTTGTAAAAACCAAGTCGCCGACTGTATTGCCCATTCTGTTTACTATTCATTTGCAGAATGTGCCAAATGAAGACCCAATTTGAACCTCCCATCACCTCCATCCTATGAACTTCGAGCGGCTGAAATCCACCTTTCGCGCTGAAATACACACACCCACTGTCATGCCAGACGTCGCAGACAAGCAGAAGGTGCTGATTTCATAATTGTAACGAGGGGTAGATTAAGTGGTGAAGAACAGTTACTTTATTAAGGGATGCGATTTAAAAAAATTTGCGAAATACAAACTTTAAATTGAAAGCGAAATTTGACGCTCGGTAAGCACGGGGTAGAGAAAGTGTTGGAATTACGCGAAATCGTCATGTTGGAGAGAATAATACTGCAACTTTCGACTCTGCTTCCTATTCACTTTAATTTTTGTGGTTTTTCTCACGGCAATTGCTGGCGGTGCTGGTTTTGCCTCTGCTCCTGACCAGGGATGTCCGAAAGGTAGGTGCGTCGAGAGTGATCTATTGGTGGATTCAAGGGGATTTACCACCAGATTCATAAACGTTTTAACCACTCGCCTATTGTCGAAGTCTGTCACCGAGACCATGTCTGCATTGGGTTCCTGAGTTAGACGTACCCAGCCCTCCTTCCAGGCCTCGTAGAAACACTTCCAACTAAGCGGTATGAATTCCTGTGTTGGGGGCACAAAAATGGCCTCACTAAGAGTGGGTTGTGTAATTCGTGGTTGAGCGAGCCATGTATCTGCCACGTTTCCCTTCTGCCACTCGAACATACCGTAAGTGAGTGCTTCTAGTGGATTGAGCCATTGGCCTTGCAATCCTCCAGGTCGAATGGCTGACACCCTAAACAGCTTTCTTCTTACCTTAGAGACTTTAAAGTCCCTATTCGTTGAGACTAGAAGCACATTCTTTGCCACTGCCTCTTCAGCAGGAATCCACATAGAAAGATGATCATCCCAAACGGTGACGCGGGTACCATTGCCGGTTCTGCGAATGAAACCGGCACGCCAGGCCTCCTCGAATTCCATTCTTGTTTCATTAACGCTTCTTACATATCCATAGCCACGAACTGAATGCCACCCAAAAGATTCTCTCTCAATAAAGATTAGAGGACCGCGGGGGTCCAGTAGCTTTGGCAAAGAGGCCAAGCGCACATAACCGAGAGAGAAGGCTTCCTCAAATGGTAGATTCTTGCCTCTAATCGAATCCACGTAGTGCGGATGTTGGTTGCTCATACGTACCCACTTTCTGTGCAAAGCGATGGCCATGGGTGTAAAGACTCCGGTTTTTTGGTTAGCCACTTCAATCATTTTCTGCCAGCTGGGTGTAAGAAGGCGTTTGAAGTCGTCGCATAACTCGTATTCCAGTATACGCACACGGAGACGGAAGACGTGAACCACCCTGCTGGCAAAAGAAAGGACAAAACATTTTTAAAACGCCACATCTACGGCATTACAAATATTGCTCCATTCTAATGCATTTGGAAATGACATCACAAAAGGAGGTAATGGACAGGTAATAAGAATCCACACTTAAATAAAGAGTACGGAACTTACGAAATCCCCAAAGATTTTTCTAACAAATATGAAAGCCTTGACTCAGAAGGCTGCTGCAGGTCATCTTCAATTTGAATGATTTCCTTCTCAACTTCTACACACTCCTGGGACCAATCCTCTCTTTCTTCCTTATGATGAGTCGAGATAACTTGGACTTGTCCCGTTTGGCATGTCTTATCCACCCTTAAAATGTCGGCTTCTTTGTACTTGATCGTCTGAGCCAAGTTAACAAAATTGGGAGCGGTTTGACAAGAGCGGTTAAAATGTTGCTTGAAACCGCTGATATCATGTTCCCTTTGACAGGATGGACGTCGGAACTGCTCATTCATCAAGACAATGATACATTCGTTCAATTCGTCATCATTGACCCCCGGAATGCAGCCTTCAAGCCAGACTTTGATAGAAATATTCACCTGGATCTCAGCATCTTGTTGCATTGCTTTTTGTGTCGGTTGACTTGAGGCAAGAGGAGCATGTAAAAGTTCCACAACCTGATCATCAACAAGATTACTTTCCTCACCAGTTTGGATCAGTGGTGGGGCACTTCGGATAAGTGCTGCGTAGTCATCGCCCTCAAATGGCATTACTGATAGACCAAAAGTAGACTTTACATAATTACGGGTCTGTACAGTCTTTGGTCCATACGCTTTATTCGTTGTTGTTTGGATAAGTGAGTGTTGGATAGATGACCACGGGCCATGATTCATGGCCTTGGTTTCACTTCCTGGAACGAAACCGTGGAATAAACCATCTACTAGTGCACATTTTATTATCTCGGACGTCATCGTAGCAACGCATCGAAGATCAAAAATGCTCGTCTGGGTGTAGTTGTTTACGTGGCTGATCGGAGAAAGCTGTAAATTGCTTGATCCATTTGACAAGGAGGTTGAAGAACTACCAAAATTGGAGACCCGACTCAATCCAGATGTGTTGCATATCTCCTCAATGTTTCGCAGATGATAATCCGCCAGGAACGGAAGGTCTTCGGAGATTATTGTTGCTGTTTGCTGTCCAGTTGACACTAATGGATTTAAATGTACATCCTTTCTGTAGCGATAAGAATAATCATCTTCATTTATATTTAGTGAGGGTTCCACGACAATATGAGTCTGTGTTGCGCAGGATAAAAGATTTGCATACGTCTGCATCAGATTCAAGTTGTGAAATGAGATAAACTCCTTATCTGATGATATATATGGTTTGACTGCTTTATTCGTAGTCACAAATCTTACTTCCAAGGCAGTCATTGCTGATGTGCTTCGCATTTCAGACCTTAGCGTCTGAGTAGAGCCGTGAAGGTGGAGTCGACGAGTCACATCTGCCGCACAAGGCAAGGCATGCTCAATCGCACCTGAGGACAACAGCAGATTGGAAGTTGACTGCCGCTTAAGAGGGGCTTCGATAGAACTGCCTTCTCCGTGAGGATAAGAATGGGCACCCTCAAATACTCTTGTCAAAATTTCTACACTAACTCGAGTTTGAGCCGCGCATGACGCAAATACTTTTGGGGCGTCGGCTTGAACAAGACACTCTTGGATCGTTTGACACATTGCATCCAAAAGGTTATGTCTAGTTGGTCTGATTAGTGCACCATATTCAGATGAGCTCAATGCAGATGTCATAGTGGAGGTGCATTTTAAAGTGGAGCCCAATGTTTGCGTACAGAGGCTGATGTTAGTCAGTGGACTCGGCACAAAGCATTTCGAACTATCCTCTTTTACAATCGAACACGATTCCTCTATCGGTGTTGGAACATCCGGAAGTGTCATCGATGACTGTTGTTCAATTGGTATTGGTGAAATCGATAAATAATCAACTACTTCGCAAGTTTGCGCAGCGTTCGTTAC